CAGGGTTCCCCAGTAGCCAAACCCCATCCTCAGTGTTTGCCAGAATCCTTTCTACTCAAGGTGTTTCTTTAACATCTTCAGCTCTCAATGAAATCAGTTCCCCTCATTTCCTTCACAGGTTGAATAACTTTACTGTTTGCTCACATCTGCAGTTTGCACCTTTAATTAAGACATTCAATTTCATGTTTCCCTTATGTTTTTACACCTTCCTCTGGTATTATCAATTTGGCAACTCAACTCTGTAAACCTGTTCATACAGAAAAGCCTATGATGAATTAATGTATCTCCCAAAAAGTAATAAGAGGGCAGGTCCTTCCATTTCATAAGGAGGAGGGGAAAAAAAGGCAGAAAAACAAGTGCTCTTGAGCATTTTTCAAATACTAAAGAAATTTGGCAGGCTGAGAGAGTTGGGGCTGTTCAGCCTGGAGAAGAGAAGGTTCTGAGGACACTTTATAGCATCTTCCAGTACTTAAAGGGGGCTTACAAGACCTGGGAAGGGACTTTTGATCAGGGCATGAGAAGAATGGTATCAAAATGAAAGAAAATAGGTTTAGATTAGATATTAAGAAATTCTTTACTGTGAGAATGATGAGACACTGGTACAGATTGCCCAGAGAAGCGTGGATGGCCCATCCATGAAACTGTTTCAGGTTGGAGATGGGGCTCTGAGCCACCCTGGTCTAGTGGAAGTTGTCCCCCTCTGCTTATGGCAGAGGGGATAGAATGAGATGAGTTTTAGAATCACAGAATGGCCTCCAACCCAGGCCATTCTGTGATTCTAAAACTCTTCCTGTTGTTTGAGTGAAACCAGGTAGGATACTACCTCTTTCTAGGAGAAAGGTATTTACTTTACCCATAAGAGTCCATAAAATAATTATGTGAACCTTTTGCTGCTGCTCTCACAATGCCAGTGAAGGTAACTCGGCACACGTGATTTCAGGTTAGGGAGTTACTTTTATCACCAGTGAGCATACAAGTGATATTACACATCACAAGGAAATCTTTCATTGTTTCTGTTGTCTTGACCAATTCAAGAGTCCTATTCTCTTTCCATTAAGGTAGAAAACACACACACATTAGGATCAATAAACACACTCAGAATTCAGCTCAAATCCCCCAAAACACAGCCAGAAAGAGCTCACTGTAATAGCTCTGTACATAGCAGTCATACATACCAGTAACCAGCCCATGGCACATTCAACCATTCCACACAGGCTTCCAGACAAGCACTTCATGTTTACACAACTACAGGATGATTAATTTCCAGACAGGCACCACTCTGGCAACTATAGGGAAATGGCAACATAGTCAAAACCTTAAAGAGGTGAAGTACTTTGAACAGACTCATAATGCAACACCCAGAAGAAGGCCCAAATTTTGGTGCATTGGAACATACCTGACTGTTTTTCTGCAAGATCTTCATCTGCTAGAGATCAGGTTTTGGAAATTGTTTTTAACTTCCTTTTCACCAGCTACAAATCCAAAACAATAAATCAAGCTTCCAGAGTCAGTTACATTGTAGGCATGATAAAAAGGCACCAGTTACCTTATTTCCTTATATGCAAAGAAACCCAAACTCACCAAAAAAACCCCACCCAAGCTGCCATTTTATCCTTCAGAAATGACCTTGTATTGATTGTTTATTACTTCAAGATAACAGCACCTTTTAGAGGCTCATTTCTACTCTGTTAATTATTAATTATAGACTCTGTTAACTGTAAATTATAGACAAATTCTCCTCTTTTCTCATTCCCAGAAGAAAAATTTCAAGAGGCAAAGCCTAGAAATACATTAGATTGCAAAGGCTATCCTGCACTGATTGGCATGAGTAGAATCTTATTCACGCTTCATTCTGGTTTGTTTGATTTGCTCCAGTTTGAAATGCAAATGAAAAGTCAAGCTTGAGCCCCAGCCATTCAAAATTCTTCTAAATATTATCTACCAACAAAGTGAAATAACAATCAAAGATTAGAAGTTAATGAGTAAGAGTATATTTTCTTGAAAAAAATACAGAATTCCAATGTTACTTTCAATTTGAAGCTTTTCAAAATAGCCAGTGTGTTTGGTTACACATTTTTTTTTCCTTGCAAATTTTTTGAAGTTATTATAGAAGTCTGAGCTACTGGAAAGAGTAACATGAACCATTTTAAGTGGCTAAAGAAAATTTTAAAAGAAAAAATAATAAAGAAAGTCCTTAAAACCAGACAAACAATTTACCTGCAGTAATGATGATGCAATGCCATGCAGAGGAGAAAAACTGCTCCCCTTGACTTGCTGCTCCTGCTGCTCACACTTTGCACTGAGGGAAACTGACTGCAAACTATTTATATGGGCAACTGTATTTGTAAAAGTCAGAGAAAATAAAGTCTGTACAAATCATTGTGTTTGAATATTAGGCTGCATAACTGGAGAATACATGTACAATATTGCATGAGTGTTTCCACTTATTTCTTATAATTAATTGGTGTGCAAAATTAATGGGGTTTAAAACTAAATTGTGTGCCCAAACCTGAGGTTCATGGGATCAAACTCACATTTTCCCTTTTAGAAGACATAAGCAGTGATATGCAAGTTTTTAATTAATAGCATGAAAGAGAGTACAACAGTCTGTGTGGCACATCAGATAGCAGTCATCATCAAAATGTCTTTGGGCCATCAGGCATTTCTTGGCTTAAACATTCCCAGTGAATTATTCAGCTTACCCTGCACCAGCATTTAAAGAGATCTAGAAGCTGAACAATTTGGAGAGACCTGGTGAGCCAGTTACTCCCTCAGGACTCACAACTCATCTCCAGGTGTTTTGCTCCCATTCACCAGGGGGTGATTGTGTAGTACACAGCCAGGCCATGTAAGACTGGCTGGCAATCCCATTTTGGGTCCAGGCTGTGGGAAAGAAAATCAAAGTTTCCTTTTTTGATCTACTGAAATGCTTTTAGCTCATTTCAGGTTTGTCATAACAACAATACACTTATGGAATAATCTAATGCAGGCTTAAACCTCTGTTCAGTACAGACTGCTAAAAATGCCTGTCTCAATTTGATATGCTACACTGACATACTGCACTTTTCTGTATCTGTTTCATTCCCTTATGGTGGATGAAATTCAAAGGTATTACACAAAGTAATAGCCAGCCCTAAGTGAGGCAGCTAAACCCACAAATCTAGAAGTACAATGAATACGATGTAGTCAAAGCTAATTAATTGTTCCATATCCATCATCATTCTGCCATTACAAAGTTCCTTTCCCTTCCTCTCAAGGGCTTTTCTCCTTCACTCTACAGCATTTCTGTCTCCTTTCCCCTGCTATACAAAACTCTGAGTTCTCTTACATGAACCTAGGCTTCTTCCCCAAGCTTACTGGCATCATTTCCATGCATGTTTATCTGAATCTGTTGCTGTTGTCTTCCAAAGGATGTGTATCTTGAGTTTAGTCCTGGAGACCTGAATTGAACAGAAGTCCTCAGTACCTCCTGGATGTGGCTCCATGGCTCCATAGGTGTCTGCTGCTCCTGCTCCACTCTCCAAATCCTGTTCTGAGCAAGACACTGCAAGCGCCTTCTCCTGTCCTCCTGTTTCAGTGGAGGGAGCAGATTTGAGCCTTCCTCAGGGCCCTCTCCTTCCTGAGCAGAGGCCCAAGCACACCCGCAGAGGCACCACACCAGTGGCAGCTGGCACTGTCTGTCTCCCAGCAGCAGGGCATTAATAACCATTAACAAAATGCTGTACAGTTCCAACATGATGTCAGTGGTATTAACCTCTGTCATTCCTGCACCAGCACTCGTGAATGACTGGTTTTCCATTTTTGTTTTAAAACTTACCTCTGAAAAACTCCATAGCAGTAAAACCAACAGTGACTATTTGGAATAGCTGTTATTTTCCAGTTTTGAAAATGAACTCAGTTATCAATACTGACTATGTTGAACAACAGCTGAATTTCTCATTCATATTTTTTTACCAAGCTTAAAAAAAACAAAAAACAAAAAACAAAAAACAAAAAAAAACAAAGAAAAGCCTTCATGCCCTGCAGACTTGTGAGCATTTTTGAGAGCTACTAAGGATCTGCCACCTATTAGAGAAAATAGGTGGGAGAGATTTGGGAGTTTTCTGGATCTGGAATGGATCATTTATGAGCAGATTAATCAGAACTGCTGTACTACAGCAAGTCTACTATTTCTTTCAGTAGTATGAAATACAAGTATCTTTTCTCAGTTCAAACTAGTAAGCAGAGCAGAAACAATTCCTTTTAAATGGTATGTTCATAAAGCCTCTACAACCTTACAGTATTTAGGCATGCATTGTTTCTCAGCTCAAAACAAAATAAATGCCAGCACTATAAACAGATGAGATAAAGTCTGTAGGAAGAGAGAGTTGGTATCATTTATTGCAGTAATAAAGACAACTGGAATAAGATACAGTTTTGCATGTATTCAACCACATTTGTATTTTTAGCTTACTAATAAGAACACCCCTGTTGAATTCCCCTGTGATGATTCAGGATCAATATGCCTTAAGATGATTTGAAAGATTGATGGATTTTCAAAACAGTCCTTTTCTTTTCACAGATTAAGAAGGACATATTTCCATTGCTCATATACTTTGCTATTTACTGGCAGACTCCAAGATGTGAGACTGCCTAATCCAACCTCAGTTTAAGGGCAGTTACATCCCCCCTTATCTCCCCCAATGCTTTAAAATGTCCACTTTATCACACTGAAATCTTCAGCTCTAGAAAATAGATCCCAGATAAATGTCTGCACGACAAACTACTCTTGCCCATCTCCATCTCTATGGCCATGCCTAAAAGCTATTAATAGGTACAGGGAGTGGATGTGCAAGATCAGACTGGAATGTTTTGTACTCCCATGGACTGTATCAGTCACACAATGCAGTTGTTTCTCCAACTTGCATTCAGTGTGTGGGTTTTGATTTTTTTCTGTTAGTTTTGGGTTTGTTGGGCTGTGGTGTTTGGGTTTTTATTTGGTGTTGTTTCTAAAAAAAAAAAAAAGAAGAAAAAAGAAAAGTCTTTACCTCTCAAAAAAACCCCAAGAAGTTCACGTGATGTAGAGTTTCAATTGAAAATTAAAAAAGGTTATGGAAGATTTGCCACTTTTGGTGCCTGTGGGTAGAGCAGCTGGTCCCAGTTGAATAAAGGCAAGGATAAAGTCATCTTCATGAATGACATGGCAACAAGGGATACTGCTACCAAAAGCAAAGCCTGCTCCAAGGCAGCTCCTTACAAACCACCAGGAGGAACATTTCAGGGGGAGGGAGCTGAGAGCACAGCACAGGCACTGCAGTCATGTGGCAGCAGCTGCCAGGACGGAAGGGATGCAGTGTTTGCAGTCCTCCAGCCCTGCTGCAGACCTCCTGAGGAAGTGCATGCTTCAGGTTAAGTCAGGTCTTAGAGACACCCTCCAGCAGGCAGTGACCCAGCCAGCAGCACCTCGGGGAGAGGCAAATCCGCATCCTGTGGAAATGGCAGAAGACTGATTAATTTAACCCCACACCCTTCCTTAGAAAAGATAGTAAGAGATGGTGAGGAGCAAAATTTGTACCAATGTACCAGTTTCTTCTCCCTTCTTTGGCAGAGGAAAGGAGGAGCAGATTCCACCACATGCCCACCCCTCCCCTGATCACAGATTTAGCAGAAGGGAGGAAAAGGGCTTTTCTGCAGAGCCTGTGCCTTTGAGGCAGCAGCAGGGCAAGAGTTCAGTTTTACGACTCTTGGCCCCAACACAATTTACCATTTACAAACTAATCCTCCTCTGCTGGAGAGCACAAGGCCTGCTAAAGCTCTCATGTCCACTTCTGTGATTCTCCATTGTCCACAGTGACAGGGAGAAGGCGAAGACCTAATCGGTGTGTAATTCAATCGCTGTCCAGGCTGTGTCACAGCACAATGCTCTGCTTGTAGTGCCACGGGCTGAGGCAGCCAGCTACTGTTATGCCCCACAGCAGGTGTGAAGAATGTCACTGGCTCTGACTGTGTGCTGCCCCTCTCTCCAGGTCCATTGCTGACACCCTGTTCACTCACCACTTAAAGGCTGTTTTTCCTACTGGCAGCAAGCTCATTGTCGGCTCTCTGGTGAAAGGGCACTCTCAGTGTTTTTGACCCTGAACTGGGAATTCCTGCACAGCATAACATGGGCCTCATATAAAGTAAACCTCTTTGCTCTCCAGATCCCCTAAATGTGGAGGCCTGCTAACAAGCTCTTTACTTCTTTAGTCTTAATCCAGCAGTCGGTAAATTATGATCTACCACACCCAAACTGTTTCACTCCAATTTTCCTCATCAGACAGGACACTGGGCATTACCACACATCCTTTAGGATGGTTTAAATCCTTGGTACCTAACAACATCTTAACCAGCAAAAGACAGATGCTTCAAAAAATTCCTAGCTACATGTACGTTGTTAAAAACCTCTGGAATACCAAATTAAATGTGCTGCCACACTTAAATAAAGGCCCACTCTGAAAGTGGCATTTGGTTTGGTTTTTAGCAAGAACTCACTTCACCAAGATTTGAAAAGCTGCACTTTCATTCATCTTAAGCTCAAGGAAGCTGAGGAAGAGAAGTGCAGAGGAAGCAGGCAGGGGAGCAGCTGCCAGGTGATCAGGGGTGTGGGTATCAGCCAGCCATGCTATCAGACAGGTAAGGAGACAGCACAGAACTATTGCTGGTACATCCACAGGAGCATCAGAGGACAGCTCCCCTGGCACAGAGCTACACCACACACTGCTAACAGTTGTGTTTCTTTCCACATGTAACAGTGGATGTTCAAGGGATGTAAGAACAGAACACAGAAACACCCTACTCCTAACACATCTCTTTCCTTAACAGCCTTGAGAATTTCATTCATGTAGAGTTTCTGGTACTATTTGTCCAATTCCTTAATTTTCATGTAGAAGCAAACCAAACAGCAGGAATACCTGATGGAAGAGCTACGTTGGGGCAGAAATTGTACAGGCCTGTACAGCTGCAGATTTTCATCCAAAAGAATAAACAACCAAAGTCAGCTGCATAACCTTACCAACCCACGAAACAAATAAACCAAAATGGAAACAGCTTCCCTGCCACCACATACGTAACTTTAAATCAATATATTTGGCTATTTAGACTATTTCTGTGCAACTGTACCCATGAATTAATGGTTACCAATCTTACCTAATCCTGTAAAGGGATGAAATACTTTGTCACACTTGCAAATTCTGTGAAGGCAGTGAGCAGATGAAGAAAGATGATCCAGCTTCTTACCACTTGCTACAGAAAAGTTCATAATATTCATTATTCAAAATATGAATTAGACATCTGTATTTATGATGTTTAACAAGTCTCCCTTAGTGTGGAAGCCAAGTTGCTCATTTCACCCATACTCATCTACTGTCATCATCGACGGCTGATTTCCAAACATGGCCAGACACCAGTTTTCATGGCAGGGGTCATGAGACATTCTTGCATCCTGAATCAGGATTCAGCGATGCCATGTGCCAAGCCTTAGAAGCATGCAAAGCATTTACAACCGAGCACCTGCGGAAATCCCATTTCCTGACAAAGAGAGGCCTCTGATATTTATGTTTTCTCCTACTCTTAGGCTATGCTGTAATGAAATCTGGCCTGAATAATCCTTTTACAGCTGTACAAGGAAGTATCCTTGCTTAGCATTTACCCCTCCTTATGGAGGTTCAGTGGAAACCTGGTTGAGCAATCAATGAAAATATCTGAATGAAAAGTGTGGCCAATGGGATATGACAAAAATCACCCACAGGACAGGACACAAAGTGAGCCTATCAGAGGAAGTGGAAGGACTCTGGTAACTTCAATGAATACAGGTAAGAGGATGGGACTTGAGGAGTCACGTTAAACTTGGTGTTAATGCCAAGAGTGACATATGCAGACACAACCAGAGAGTGCATGCTCCTGGAAAGGGAGGCCAGGAGCACTGTTGCTAACAGCATGGGAATAATCTGAGAGTGCAGGACTGCATGGGAACCACTGCTAGGTCAGTGACAAGAGTTGAAGGGGAATAAATTGAAGGAATGCTGTAAGGGATTTGGAAAGGGCTGTTTGTGACGCCAGTGAAGGAAATTACTTTGAACAGCTTATCCTGTGAGATTCCCTGCTCTGCAAGGTACTCCCCACTACCTCTTCTGTAGGTCTGGGTTAACCTTACCCAAAGCTGCCCTGATCTCTTCGAAGGTTGGGATTCCTTTACTCCAAAAAACCTGCATCCTTGTCCTGTCCCTGTCACTCTAATCATGCTGCTGCTTTATCTCTGACACAAACTATCTGTGCCCCGTGCTCAAACTCTGACCTCAAACTCCTGGCCATCACATCTCTATATACCCCCAGGTCATCCTCTCTGCCTCTATTTTCTGGCACTGTTCCCTGTAGCTGCTTCACACCCCAGATTATCTCTGCTTTTGTTTCCCTTCCTCTAGCAGAGTGAGTGTGAAGCCCAGGCTCTCACAGGTAGCAGGCCATTAGCCTGTGTGCTGTTCTATGCCCAATCTCACTTTTGCTGGGCCCCTACTGGAGCTTTAAACCAGTGACTACAACCAGCCCTGCTGGTCTTTAGTGGTCCCTCAGCCTCTTTTTGGGAACTATTATCTATCATGGTACTGGGTAAGCTCTGTGGATGCAGAGTGACAGCCACTGTTCCCTATTTCCACAAGGAAATGCTAGAACAATTTTTGTCTGCTGGGTATAAAACCCAAGTCTCCATGGCACACTCCCCTGTTCCTTGCTTGTTGCTGATCAGTCGTTCCTCTGGGTCCTCCAGGGACCTCCCCCTCCTCTTGGCCATGACAGTGTGCATTCAAACAGCTGCTCAGGCTGGATGAAGCACCTGCTCTGGGCAGCAGCAGCTGGAGTTCATTTTGGGTCCAAAGGGCCGAGGCCAAGCAGGCTGACTGCATGTGCACTAATCCAGTATCATCACCAACTCCACCAACAACAGGTGCCCTTTGAAGAGGAAGGGAAAAACTATTTGGGGAGGAATCAGAGCTTTATAAAGGACATTATGGGCCAAGTCCTCAGCTGGTACATGCTCAGTTAAAGCATGTACCCTCTTGAAGTTATATGAGTAATGCTCACATACACAACCAAAAGCTTTGGCTCACTCTCAGTGCTGCTTCTCTTCTGTTTTCAGTTTTCCTAAGGATTTTTCACCTCCTCTCCTTGCCCTCCATTGCTCTTCCATCAATACAGAAACTTCCTGTCCCTTGCTTCAGACCAGACAGCTGAAAGTCACAAGCTACATATCCCAGATTTCACCATCCTCCTGTGCACAGGTAACACAATCTTACCATGTGTCCTTCAGTCCTGCTCGAGTCCTGGGGCTGGGTCCAGATCATAAGCCTGCAGCAACAGCAACAAGGGCAATCCATTCTGGAGCAAATGAAGCCAAACCCCATCAAGGTCCACTAAGAGAAGACTTTCAGCACAGGCATCCTAAGAATTGTCATGCACTTGTTCAAACCAGGGGTCCCTGTAGGACAGAGCATAATTTCAATGTAGGATCCAAACAAATTATGCAGGAAGAGAAAACAAACAAACAAACAAACAAGCAAACCTGTCAGAAACTATTGGCCAAACTGTCTCCAAGGCAAGTTTTATTCTTACCTCATTTTCATTTTGCTGGAAATTTATTTACCACCCAATACATATAAATCTCTTTTTAAAGTCCCTCTCAGTGTTCTGATAAACACCTGAACTAATGAAAGCCTCTATGTTTCCTTCTTTTCTGAGCCCTAATATTCTGAGCTCCAGAGGCCAGTTCTGTAAATCTGATCTCAATCATTGCAGTTACTCTTGTGCTTCTTTCTGGAGAACCTGGAAGCTCTCTGGAGCCTGAGAATGGAGCTGAATTCACAGATATGGCACTGCAGAGCATGGTTAAAAGCACTCTGCTCACACCACACAAGTAAAAGCAGGATTTCCAAATTCTTGTTTATGCACTATCAGAGGAAAACATGACCTTGCTGCAAGTTGCAGCCACAGCTGTCATAATTTTGTATCCCAAAATTTATTTTCCTGAGCTATGCATCTTTTAATTCTTGACTTTTCAAGATTCAGATTTAAGCCACTTTTCTCTTGGACCAGGTCTCAGCTGGGTTATATTACAAAGAGAAGCAAAGGGATGAGACACAGTTGGTAATGACAACAGCACAGGCAGAAAAAACACTCTCCAATCCATAACAGTCCCTGACATCTCACCCACAAGTACAGACAAGTGTAACCTGCATTGCATTGGCTTGAACATTTAAACAAGTCTCCAAGAATTTCCCCTGATGAACACAACAGTACAGGTCAGACAATTCCTCACCAAGGATGGGACAGACAGAAAACCACATGGGAACCTCCAGTGCTGGAAATGTATTCTCAGCTGCTGCAGACTCACACACACATTCTCTTTAAGGCTTTAACCACAGTTCCAAAGTTGGAAAACACCAGAACATGTACAAGCACACGCAGAAGGCAACCTTGCACACTTGTGCAGCAGTTTGGTCCACGTACATGCCTGAGGGAACCACTCTGCACCCTTATACTGAGCAGTAGAGATACCTACACATTCCTGCCATTCCCAGGCAAAGCAATAAAACACTGCAACATCTGACAGCACAGAGCTCTCCCTATCCCTCTGAATCCTCGCTGCCGCTTGCTGTCACTGCGCACATTTCACGCAGGCCAGCTGCACAGGATTTATTCGACCAGTTTTAGAGTATCAAAGCTAACTTTTTTTTTTTGTCTTTGCCCCAGGCAGGCACTTGGTATGCAGGATTTAAATCAGAGAACAAAATGTTCTGTGAAATTTGTAAATACTCAGCCCAGTAAATTCTAAATTCTTTAAAAAAAAACAAAAACAACAACAAAAAAAAAGGTGATAGCAACTGGAGTGGTTTAAAAATCAAAAAGTGAAGCATTTCACTGCATCACTGTGGATAATGCCACTGTGTGCTAAAGATCAGAATAATGAACTTACCAAGATTACCAGTTAATGATGCTGACTGCTTTAAGTGACAGGAGCCAAACATACTCTGAGTTCTACCTTTTAATTCCAGTGAAATCAGGAGAATGTTCAATTCAAAATTCAACAAATGCTCTGCAAAAAGACACTGAAATTGAAAAAAACCAAATTGTTTGATCCTTGCAGATTGGCAGAGAAGACTTTGTCTGGGACATACTGCCACAAACTTACTACAATCTATGATACTACCTATCATAGTAAGGTTTAAAAATGCATTTAAAGCCATTAAAATGGAATTAGGCAGAAGATGATAGGCAAAGACATACCCCAGGAAAATCCCAACACTAAGATAATGAAGATGGTCTAAAAGAGATGCTTTGACCAAAAAGCAGCAATAAAGGGCCATTTGTGACTGAACTAGAAGAGAAATTACTTCATTGGAGTTTAGCATTGCCTTTAAGGTCCATGATGTTTGAGTGAAATTATCCACTTCTGCTTTGCCTGATTCACCATCACAGGTTCCATCTTATTTCAAAATTTAAAACAAATATATTGCCGATGAATGTTCACATTAAAATTTCAAATCTCTTTTTTTCTCAAGCAGTTTCACCAAGACTTTGAAAGGATTCTTTTAAAAAAAATTATGATTCGTTATTTTTTGGTGATTACAAAAGCCAAAAACATTTAGAATCATTTCCTCTTCACCTACAAACATTTGACACTCCTCTTACCACAACTGTGGCTTTAATTTCTTCCCTCTAAAGCCAAGTAGCAAACGGCATCAGTCAAACCAGTTTAACTCCCAGGAGTCCCTGTACTTCAGAATAAGGTGCTCCTGGTACTAGCAGGGACCCTATGAACATTGATTATCAGTAGCATACAGCAGCAAGACAATAAATGGTTTCTGGACCTTTATCCCTTGCCCACAGTTTACTTCTTCTTGCCCAGATATTCTGAGTATGTACAAAGTGCACCTGCTCATGCAGATCTCAAAGAGGCCTGGTGTCCCCTCAAGGGCCACCTGGAGCACTGGGTGCACCTCCTGAACTTCACACTGCCTGGAAGGCATTACCTGGTCACTGATTTCAGGTGGCACAGGCTGCACACACACAAAAAAAAGGCTCTGCCTTTTTCAATGTGTCAAGTCTTATTTTCTCATTTACCCAAGAGTAAGTACAAATTCTAACCCACAGCTGTGGAAAGGAAGTTAGACTAGAAAGGCAAGTACACAAAGCAGACAAATTATGACAGACTTTAGGCAGTTTGGCATTGCACAACTCCCTTATGCAACAGATTGCCTGGGGGAAGCCTCATGTTTTCAGAAATTCCTCAGAATCCCCTTAAATATGCTCCAGTGCTGAGGCCCTGTGCCTTCCACCTGCAATTACTGACTGAACTTATGATATGCTATAGACAGATTACATGGATGAGCCTTACGTTTGCTGGCCTATGTTTTTTAGAAATGTGACCTGAAATAACAATTGCAGAATCTCAGAGGCAGAAGAACCCTGCCAATTTATAGAAACTTATTCCTAAGCACAGCCTCTTTAGAAAAACCAAAGGGGTAGTATCAGCCAGTAGCCCTTGAAATGAATAGTCCAGTTAAAACTCAAGTGTATTTATGAGAGCAGAAATGGAGATGGAAGAGCCAATGCTGCTGGCCAGGCTGGAGCTCCCTTAGCCAGGCTGGAGCTCCCTTAGCCAGGCTGCCAGTCCTCTGCAGCCACCAGGCTGGGAGCACTGACTGCTCCTGGGCTCCAGCTCTCCCTGCTGCCTCTGCCCAGCCCCAGCCATGGCCTTCCTCAGTGCTGCCAGAGTCTGGGCTCCTACAGACATGGTGAGCTGGTAAGCTGAGTCAGGACAGGAAATGATGCTGTGAATACGAGGAGAAAAGGCAATGGTGAACAACTCAGTGTAGGTGACTTATCAATGCCCAAAATTGCAGAGAGAGTGGTAGGTGCTCAAGAGAAAATAGGGACACACAGCTTCTAGACATGAGTTAGCCAGTGGGCACAGCCCAGTTTGACCTGCATGTAGGCAGTCACACAAACACAGCCACGTGCAGCTGGGCTTGAGATGCTATGGGAAAGATGATGCTAACAAGGCTAACTGGGCTGGGGCACAACAACAGTCACAGCAAGAGTCTGTCAATGCACTTGAGATGCACTTACATCTTCCAGGCTTGACTGCAGTCCTCTTAGAACAGAATTTTCCCCCAGGTCCAGGGAAGGGAGAGTGGAGGAAAGGGAGAGGATGAGGCTGTCTGAGCACTGTGGCTGTGCAGCAGTGGGAGAGAGCTCCCAGGCAGAAAGAGAAGAAAGGAGAGGCACCTGGAGACCAGCAGGAGGGTGAGGGCTGGTGGTACTCAGGCAGGATGTGCCCTGTACACCAAAGCCCCAGAGCAGCTCCCAAATGAGAAGCAACAGAGGCTGTCCATCTCCAAATTCTGCTCCTGGAAGGGTCCCATGGTAGAAGCAAGCATTAACTACATATAATATAACTTAAATACTGCAGAGAAAAAAATAGCCTGGGTTAGAAAACCCTCCTATATGCATTCTGTGACACAAGGTTTAAGATAAGCTTTGCTTGCATTTCAGAAACTCTTACAAACTTGTCTCCTATGTTAGCTTTAGACACAGCAGAGATCTGCCTGTCAGCTGTGGGCACATTCTGTTTGAAGGACAGATTTCAATCACTGAAGTTTCAAAGAATTCTATACATATGACAATGTTTTATGTTATCCAGCATTTGGAAAGTTCCTCGAGGAAGAACTTAATTGCCGAGGAAGAGAGGCAATGAGCCAACATCTCAACATCTGAGCCATGCAGACTTGTGCCTGGCAAGCCTATGGAAACAAAGTGTCTGAGATAAAAGTGACAACAGAATGAAAAATGTTGCAACTTTATCGAGCTACTGAAGCAAGGTTTGAAAAAACTCAAGGCAAAGACTTGGCTGGTTCCAGTGATGAGAACATCCTCAAACACCTCATCTGACTTCAAACACTGCAATAATGGATGTTTGGCAAACACAAAAATCTCAATGACAGGAAGGAATTTTTGGGACTCTAGAAAAGGAAAGCAAATGAAAACTAAGGTTTGGAGTACTTGAGGTGAGTGCCAAAAGAAAGGCATTTAAAAATTATTTCCAAAATTAAAAAAGTTAATCCAAGTATTTTTCAAACAGAATTTCATTATGGTACCTCATTTTATTAAACTGAATATATGCAAAATACGCAGATCTGGCACAGCATAGTAATTTTCAGTACTTATAAACCCAAAATACAGGCTTCTGTCTGTTCTGTTTGACAGCAACAAGAGATTGGCTTCAAAGAGACTAGGCTTTGTTTTTGAGCAATCCCTCTCTTGTATCACTAAAACATGCTGATTTCAGAGCACCATAGCAAACTGGTGCTTCCCACTTGTCAGTGACAAAGAGACAAAAAATATTTTCCAGAATGTCCATGCTGCAGCCTGGTCACAGCACTGCTGCCTCTCCAGGGCCATCTAATGTTTTGCTGATGACCACTTTCAGTAAAAGTCAGTTAAAAGAGGTTATTTTGCTATGCTTACTTAAGTAGTACCAACCCAAATTTCAGGCTTCTTTTTTAGCTTTATGAGTCATACAGTGCAAAAAGGCAACAAAACAACTCAGAAATCTTGCTGGCTCTTCCTCCGTGGATAAATGAAGTAAAAAAGAGAAAAAAGTAGTGAGATGAAGCACCTGTTGAGACTAAAAAATTGTAAGAAAAATGGTTAAGGGACTTCAAGTCCAATAAAAGCAATCATGAATTCATGGGTGTTCATATGAATCATTCCTAATTTCCTGCCAGAGAGCTTTGGTTTCACCTAATTACAAAACAAAATGATGAATGAAGTAGGCCAATTCACAAGCATACATATTGTACATTTATTTGTTTTTTACTTTTTCCTCACACAGCCCTCTGTTTTCATCATGGCTATTGATAGGCACTGAATGAGAGAAAACTCTGGCAGCATTAGACAGACGATTTGCAAAACACATGTAAAACCCATCACAGCTAGAAAGAAGCAAACAGATGGTAGCTGGAGAGAAGCAACAGCCACAACTCTTACTACCTGTGGTGAAAGAATAAACAGTACCAACTCCAGATCACAAAGTGCAGCCAAAAGAATCTAGCTTTAAATGAGAGATTTAGGGTAGAAAATGGCCAGATACAACTAAATGTTTGCAAAGCCCACTGACACAAACAATCATTTCTACTGCACTCTGCCAAAGAAAAATAGGAAAAGGAGTGGGGAGGAGCAGAGAAGGTATAGATTTATGTGTAAGAGAGCTTATATTGATGGAATTTTAATTGTAGTTCTGTATACCACACTGGGGTGTTTTGGCTTCCCCGTCTGCCATATACTTTCAACACACTTTAAAATATGTTGCACCAAAATCATGCCAAATCATAAAAATGAAAAGATACCTTTCATCAAGGCACATGCCTGTAATCAACCCTTTGATGATCCTTGTAGGTCCCTTCCAATCAGACTATTCTGTGATTGTGTGCTGAAAAGTCATAACTAAGAAACTGAACAAAGTGCCAGCTCCCTGGAATGCTGCATTTCCTGAGGTCACAAGCTTTTGGAGCAGATGATACCTTCCCTAGTCCAGATACAAATAGCATACCTCATGCTATGTAGCAAGAATGCCTATATTACTTTGTCATGGAATTTTTCCATAATACAATTGATAACCATGCAAATGGTGTGTATTTCCTTTAGTTCTGTGAAGTACAAAGCAAAATAAACTGAATGGTGTTCTTATAAAATGAACACATGGAGTATAAAGAATTTTACAGTCAGTTTTCAGATCAGTTCCATGCACCACAGATGGCCTTTAGAACTGCCCTTGTCTCTTAGCTGTCCATCACTGAAATGGGATAACTAAATATTGTTTTCTAAGGTTCCAAAGCCCATTAACACAGAGACAAACCTCTATTAGATGATATGCTCAGAAATTATCATAATAAATGCCCAATTAACTAAATACAACTACGAACTTTTCCATGGGGACACTGGCTAACTTGCTTGTTATTGTTATTTCACACTTCAAGTTATTTAAAGAAAGGAGGCCATAAAGTACTGATTTAGGTTGAGATGTCAATGCACACATAGAGGCACCACACTTGCTCCTCTTCCTCCTCCTCTGAGGGAATTAAGGGATTATTCTGGAATTATAAAACACTAGCAACTACTTTACAGGTCAACTACTTTACAGGCCAAAACAAGGACACCTGGAATGGAAGGAGCTAAAAGGTAGCTGATAGAGGCACATGCTTCCAGCAAAAGTCCCTAGTGCTATAGTGAAGAAAAGGATGCCTACTGAGAACTTCAGAATAAGGTCATACATTGCTCATTTAATGACTTTGGGTACTTATTTTAGGCTTGCAAACATTACAGTTATTACTCACATGAAATTTTACCCAAATGCTTCAATGCTGTTTGATTTTTTTGAGCGAAACTTCTAATTTAATTAAAACACAAAGAATCAGAACTAAAAAAAATGGATGAATAGGATAATTACAGCAAACAAAGAGGACTGAATATCATATGAGATGGAGGCAGTGAACAAGGATTATTTAAGTTTCTCATGAGCAATGTTCTCATATCTCTACATGACTACTGTCAGATGATGCATGCTGGGCTCTAGGCAGTCAGATCCAATAACAATTAAAACAAGTAATGAAAAATTATTCTGCCCTTAGCATCCTGGGCTGGTGGGGGAGTGGTTTGCTACAAAAATATTCCACAAAAGAGCACATAACATTGAGCTTACTAAACAAAGTCACCGAAGAGAAAATTATTGATTTTGAAGGGTGTTGAGATTACTCATATTTCCTCTTCACTGGTCAGAATCTATTAAAGGTAAAGAAATGTTCAAGAAATGCCAAGCTCCATCCATGTGGAAAAACAGTTGAAAAAATCAGTAACATGTATTGAAGTTACCGTACAAGCTGAGGGTTACTGGTAACTAAAATACTGAAGATAGGTAGCACCAGTTCAGCACCAACATTTTTAGCACTAAACCAAAAAACCTAAAGAATTTACCCTGTAGCCAAGACATATAAACACATTGCTAAATTCCCAGGACTTTTCAGAGCTCACTCCCTCCTCAGAATTGCCTCTGCATAGATGTTCTCACCAGCCACTCCAGCCTCGGCCCAGCCTGGTCACACTCTCAGATGCTGCTGCTGGAACCAGAGGTACTACTGAATGTGACTGCCTGGAAAAGGGCTCAGGTCTTACATTAGAAGAGTTTTATCCATGGTTTTTCTACCCCATATAGACAATGTATTAGAGACAGGAAGCAAAGGAGAGCCAGCAGGTTACACTGTCTCTGCACAGCTCTGATGTCAAAGAGAATGAGAGGCAGCAGCTGGGACTTTGCCAAGAACCAAACTGAGGGAGCTACAACATCCTAGATCTGTTGGTGCCCTGACCATGTGTGTGCAGCACAGCACAGCTTCTGTCCCTTGGACATGTGTGTGCAACACAGCACAGCTTCTGTCCCTTGGGCATGGGTGTGCAGCACAGCACAGCTTCTGTCCCTTGGACATAAGTGTGCAGCACAGCACAGCTTCTGTCCCTTGGACATGGGTGTGCAGCACAGCACAGCTTCTGTCCCTTGGACATGTGTGTGCAACACAGCACAGCTTCTGTCCCTTGGGCATGGGTGTGCAGCACAGCACAGCTTCTGTCCCTTGGACATGCTCTGCACCACAGTACACATAACTGCACATCGAGCTGTTGGCTTACAGCCTGCCTAGGAGGGGCAAGCAACAAGTGTGTGCATTTCCTAAGTTCTGCTTCTGATTGTCTTCCCTGCTTTCTTCTATTATCCTGCTTAAATAGGAAATACTTTCACTTCAGTTGTGTTGCTCTGTTTGGAAAGAAAATGAAGACATATCAAACACACAAGTTTATGTTTTCCTTTTATGTTTGTAGGACCATCTTGGGATATCCCAAACCTGTGACACATGTACATGTGTAATCATAAACCACTGAAGAGAAAGTACATACTGGAATGTTTTATTAAGAACATTCTTAATAAAGAAGACTTTTCCTCAAGTCAGTCTTAGTCAAGATTCAATGTTTTAAAACCACTTCTTCAGCACAAGTGTGCGGCACGACTTCAAGCAGAGGCCAAGTTAACACATCTGCTTAACTGTTAAGGTAAATGTTTTATGTCAGTGATTCACTGTTCACGCTGTTTGCCGGCACCCGCGGGTTCTCCGTGCTGTTCGGAGCTGTCTGCGCTCCCGGCGCGCCTGCCCAGGGCCCTTGCACACACGGCAGTCCCCGCCGGCCCCCCCGCATCGGCACACCCACGTCCTCTCTCCTCCTCCTCTTCCCTGGGCGGGCGGGCGGCGGCGCGCAAGGTGTGTCCCAGGTGCCCGGCTATATCAGGCGGCACGGCGGCGGCACAGCGGCGGCCCCATGGCGGCGCCGGCCATGGCCGAGCCGCGCTCCAAGCGGCCGCGGGTGACGCTGCCCGCCTGCCCCGCGCACCGCCCGCTGCCCGGCAGCCGCGTCCGCCACGGCTTCCCGCCCGCCGTGGAGGAGGCGCTCTGCGGCCTCACCGGCGCGCAGCTGGAGCTGCACTACTGCCTGCAGGCGCTGGTAAGGCGGCGGGCCGCGCACGGCCGCGGGAGGCACGGCGGGCTGCGTGTGCCCCTCTCCCACCGGCCGAGGGGAGAGCAGGTGCGGAGCCCGGCTGAGGAGGGTTTAGAGTCGGGCAGGGACGGCACAGCGGTGCCTGTGTCCTGGCCCAGGGGGTTTGGAGGCTCTCCGGGCTGCCCGGCCCGCCGGCGGCAGCGCTGCTGCCAAAGCCGCGCCGCGGCCGCTGCGCCCGCACGGCCACGGAACAACGAGGAGGGTCCGTAACGCGCGGGCTGTGAAACTAACGAGCGCGCCTGTGTTTTGGGTAATTCACAGAGGGCCTTTTGCCCGGGGAGAAGGGACAGGAACAGGGGATGCTAACAGCTTTGGAGTATATTTGAGTGGGTTTTCTCCCAAACTTTTGTGAATAGTTGTGTGTGGTTAACTATAGTCTGTGAACATCGTGGATGGCTTAGGTTTCTTGCTCCACAGGAATGAACTTTGGACATGAAATCATAAAAGGTATCACTGATACCATGACAAATTCATGCAAGAATTATATCTGGCTACATATCAAGTGTTAATGCAAACATATAACTTAACAGAGACATTAAAATTAAAAAGTCAAAATTATCAATGCCGTAACTTCTGATGGCAAGCATCCACGGGGAAGCAACACAAACTATATTCAGTATATCCCCAAGATCTTTCAATTGAGTCTGGTATCAAGTATAAGTTCAATGAAAATTTAAGTATACAGTAAAACCTGTTAAACCTATGTAAGAAAAAAGTTGTAGTGATTGGCAGCTGGATGTGATGGAGAAAGCTCAGAAATTGACTGTGGATAAATCAAACCTAGAAATGTGAACGTCCTAAATAGTGAATTACTGACACAAAAGATTTACCTTAAAAGTTAAGCAGATGTGTTAACTTGAGCTTCACTTCAGGTTGTGCTTCACACTTTCACTGAGGAACTGCTTATAAAACACTCAATCTTGGCTGTGCTGTCAACAGAAACAGGAATGAGTGACTTGAGGAAAAGGTTTCTGCAAATAAAGCAATGAATGTTCTTAATAAAACATTCCAGTATGTGCTTTCTCCTCAATGGTTTATGGTTGCATGCGTCTGTATGTGTCACAGGTTTAGGTTATCCCAAGAAGGCCCTGAAAATATAAAAGGAAAACATAAACTTGTGTGTCTAACATGTCTTCATTTTCTTTCTGAACGTAGGTGAAATGAAAGTATTTCCTATTTCAGCAGGGTAGTAGAGGAAAGCAGAGAAGACAATCAGAAGCAGAACTTAGGAAATGCACACACTTGTTGCTTGCCCCTCCTAGGCAGGCTGTAAGCCAACAGCTCGATGTGCAGTTATGTGTACTGTGGTGCAGAGCATGTCCAAGGGACAGAAGCTGTGCTGTGCTGCACACCCATGCCCAAGGGACAGAAGCTGTGCTGTGCTGCACACCCATGCCCAAGGGACAGAAGCTGTGCTGTGCTGCACACCAGGGCACCAGCAGATCAGGGCATCAGCAGATCAGGATGCTGTAGCTCCCTCAGTTTGGTGCTTGGCATAGTCCCAGCTGCTGCCTCTCATTCTCCTCACTATCAGGGCTGTGCAGAACCAGTGTTCCAACCAGTGTAACCTGCTGGCTCTTCTTTGCTACCTCCCTGTAATACTTCTCTTTATGAGACACCCATACCATGGATAAAATATTCTAAAAATAAGAGCTATTATGTCTGTTAGCATGGTTAAATATGGCAGTGATTTAAGTTGTTGCTTTCCCATACAGAACAAGGCCAGCAGAGGATTTATGGTTGTAATATTTCTGAAATTAAAGAATGGCCTAGGTTGGAAAGAACCTTAAAGATCATCAAGTTGCAAACCCCCTGCCATGTGCAGGGACACCTTTCCCAAGACCAGCCTGCTCAGAGCCTGGGCTCTTGGCAACCTGTTCTGGTGTTTTACCATCCTCACAGTAAAGAGTTTTTTCCAAATACCTAATGCAAACCTGCTCTTTCAGTTTTAAACCATTTCCCCTTGTCCCGTCACTGCATGCTCTTATAAAAATTCCCTCTCCATCTTTCTTGTAGTCTCCCTTCAGGTACCATAAGGACACAATTAGGTCACCAGAGCTTTCTCTTTTCCAGGCTGAACAAACCCAATTCTCTCATCCTTTCCTCACAAGAGAGGTGCTCCATCCCTCTGATTACTTTGTTTCCCTCCTCTGGACTCACTCCAACAGATTTATGTTCTTCCTGAGATGCCTTCCCAGGCCTGAGTTATATATTATATTGAAGGTGTATAGTTCAGTGGCAGTATCCATTATTTTGGAATACCATTGTCCATAATAAAACTGAGAAACAGATCTAAAGTTGTGCTTGTATTTGCCTCATCTTTCTCATACCTTTGAAAGCTAACTTTTGACTGGAATGCAGGCCTGCAGGGATAAATTTTATGTTCCCCATTCTGGCAGTATGTTTAAAAAACAAAACAAAACCCCTCCCCAGAACACAGTTACAAAACAGACACATGCTAACCACTCATAAATAAAATATTCTGAAGATCTCTTAACTGCTACTGCAAGAGCAACATCATTACTACAGTTGCCTGACCAATATTAAAGGATAGAAGGAGTTCTAGTAGAAGTATAGATTTTTCACTTCATACTCTAACTACTCACTTCATTTATTGTAGAAGTCAGATCAAGGTCTCCAAAGTGATTGTGCTTTGTAAACAAAATACCTTCCATTGGAAGGATCTCCCATGTTCTGTTAAAGCCACATTCTGCTGCAGGTGAGTCCCATATCTGGCAGATCTTAACACTCTTGTTTTGTGTCCTTAGGGTGAATATTTTGATCAGTCACATGTGGCTCTACCAAATATTTCAAAGTTCTTCCTGCATCAAGCTCTGGAAGAGAGAGAAGCTGCAGAAGCACTGATGAAGTATCAGCAGGAAAGAGGAGGCCATTACTGCTCTAAAACCATCCAGGTGGGTAGTAGTCAACAAATTTTCAAGCAGCTATGATCCATTTAACTTAGTGAATTATAATGTTGGTAATTCAGATCTCTGCATTCACCCATTATTAGATTTCCAGTTATAATTTATTTGGCATACTTGTGTACATGGTTTTGTTCTTGATTGTGATGCCTAGAAACTGTCACACATACTGTCCTAACTCTATGGGGTTGCTTTCCAGCCCAAAAGAATATGAACAGTTTTCCCCTTTCCTTTTACTCAGCTGGACACTGCTGTTTCCAGTATGCTGTAATGGATTATGACCCCTTAAATTGTGCTGAAACAGCCCACTTATCTCCTTCACACTGAACCTAAGTGGAAGCTTAGACATGACTAGCACTTAAAAAGAGTGGTAAGGAAGGAGAAACATCCAGCTTGGGGCAGTAATTAATTTCCTAAATTAGAGCTCATAACAGAATTTGAACTAAGATCTAACTTGGGCTTGCAAAGGTACAAAGGAATAACTCAAATGTTTTCAGGAAAAAAATAACCCACCTCATTTGTTTAAGACCAAGAGGCTGCTTCTCTTCTACCAAATTAGTTAATGCAGAATGCTCCTCTTTTGTCCATCATAGCAGTTAAGCTGTAGAAAGTAAAAAGACTATTGTTAAAATCTTTTTTAACACTCAGTTTGCATCAAGGATGAGCTTAGGACTTCCAGTACTTAAAGGGGGCCTACAGGAAAGAGGAAGAAGGACTCTCTCAGTGTTAAGATGAGGGATAACAGTTTTTAACTGAAAGAGGGCAGATATTTAGGCTAGATATTAGGAAGTCCCTCTTCACTGTGAGGGTGGTAACACACCAGAAAAATTTGCCCAAAGTAGTAGAGAATGCCCCATTCCTGGGAGTGTTCAAGGCCAGGTTGGATGGGCCTTTGAGCAGCCTGGTCTAGTGGAATATGGCAAAGGGTTGGGACAAGATGATTTTAAGGTCCCTTCCAACCCCAACCATTCTGTGATTAGATTTCCTGGTGTAAGAACCCTCTTCAGGCATAGCTGCTGCTGTGTAACTCTGTTCCTTGAAGAAGTGCTTGGATTCTGCCACTTGAGTTTAAAGCATGCAAAAAACAATAGATGTACCAAAGTGGAAGCAATTGTTGCAAAATCCTAGTACAACTTTTATAGAGCACCAGGTTAAGTTGCAGGAATCCATTGATGAATACAGACACATGAGCTGTTCTTTTGAGTAAATACAATTATGTCTTTGTTTTCAGAAACCAAACTGTGATTATGCAGTCGGTCTGATGAAAGCCCTGGAACTAGCAATGGTACAATGGAAAACTATGCTACGATATTTTGAAGAGCTTTATGCCCTGAGTGTTGAAAATGCAGACCCTCATAGTGCCAGCACTATCAAGAAACAATTTATTGGGCCCAAAATCCAGAAGATCAAGCTGATGGGAGATCTGCTGACCAATGCTCGCAGGCTTGACTGTTCCCAGGATGGCAGAAATAGTCTTGGGGATTACTTTATGGACCGGCTGCAGAAAGAGTTCAGGACCAGCATAGAGCCTGAGTCCAGTGATCACTGCAGCCCCTGCCCGCCTCTCCAGCAGCGCACAGGAGCTGCAGAAGGTCTGAAGAGACCCCAGAGAGAATGCTCCCAGCACAGAAATGGCATAGGGCCGATATATGCGACCATACACTGCACCACCATGCTGCCACAGTGTAACGATGGCACAGCAGCAAAGGTGAAGCAGGGCAGGGAGGGCCTTTAATGCTCAGGCTGCTGCAGCTACAGGGCAGCTCCTTGGGCAAACCTGTTCCAAGGGTGGAGATGGGACCAAAACTCTGGAGACACAATGCTCTGTCCCTCCTCCTGCTTTCCACCCCATCCCCTCATCCTGTGCAGAGTCACAGCTCAAAATCTAGCCCGTACCACTATTTGCTTTAAATGATAGCAAGGTCGCCAGCTAGATTGTCACATTTATCTATGCAATTCTTCCTAGAAGCCAAAAGTTCTTAAGATTTTTCTTTCTCTTAAATGATTAATAGGATCAGTTAGTGCAAATTATTTTAAGAAGATATATATAAATTTTATTAAAACAAGTAAAAGAGAAATCACTGCACCTTTAGTGCAAGGAAACTTTTACATGGCAGAATATCCAAATATTTAGTTTTATATTACTGAATATATAAATATTTAGTTTTATATTACTGAATATTATACTATTCAGTATTTTAAATTACTAACAGGTATGGTAAAATAATGAACTTTTTAAAAAGACTCATTCAAAAACAATGGGTTTTTTGTCTTATTTCTATCATAGTAGCCATTTAAATAAGTAGACTAATGCATTTACTGATCAGCTGTTTCTAGTGGTATACTTCAGGATGAAGCATGCAAACATTTCCTCAACAGTGGGAATAAGAAAATGTGCTGATTTCTTTGTAGTTATTGCCTAGTTGGCTTTTCTCATCCTCAGAAAGCAGATGAGAGAGAAATTAGGAGTTCTCATTAGATGGGAACTTTAGAGGTTCTAAGGCATATTTTGCAAGTGTCACCAAAGAGAGTAGCTCCTTGTCCAGACTTAACATAGGATGATTGCTTTAATTCTAATACAGAGCCCTATCTCAGCTAGCTCACTAAAGGTATTACTGTGGCACTCCTGCTACTTCTTATATTCCCTGTTTGGTCCCAAACAGGGGCATGAGATCCTAGTGAAAAAACAGCACGCTTTACTAGAATTGCTTCAGAGAGAATGGCCACTCATTAGTTTTGCCTTTTAATTAGGGCAGTGTTAGCCAGCTTGGTTCAAGTGCAGAGGTGTCCAAATTCCTCTCATTAGTCCCCTACCAGAGTGCCTCATTCTGTCCCCTGGCTCCCAAGGTCACCCAGGAAGAGCAACTGGCTAGATCAGCTGCCTGCACTTGGGGATTTTTTGTCATTATATACATCTTTTATGCAGTTGGGGTTTGATTCATTGGAAGATGGCCTCACACTTTCGTGTAATACTTTAGCTGGTACTCCTGTTTTGCTTGAAAATAAATTCACTTCCATGTCTGTATCTCCAGTGTATTCCTCAATTCACCACCCAGGCATGCTGGTATTATTCTCCAAGAGATTTTGCATATGTATACAAAACTGGGCCAGTATTTTTCTGCATCTGAGAAAGTTGTGCATGATGGAAGAGTATGACAGAGTGAAAATAAATGCCAGAAAAATGCATTACTCTAAAGCACTTCACAATGAAACATTTTTAGTAAATTCTGATACAGATACAGTTAAGTAGCAATTTCTGCAAAGCCCACCTTCTGTTGGTGTTGTAACATGGGACAGAAAATTTCAATGCAGATGTTTTCCCAGTCTTTTCTGTGAATGTGGTTCAACTTTGGGGTGGGGATGGGGAACACAAGCACTTTTAAAACAACCTCTGTATTCATCTATAAAAATACTGCCATGTGCCACAGAATGGCTCAAAGCACTTTTAGAATCATGCTAGATTTGCCTGTGATTGCTCAAAGCACTTTTAGAATCATGCTAGATTTGCCTAGAGATTGCTGCTCTCTAATACAGCAGGAGTCCAAAATATATTTCCATCTGGGCTAGATTCCATCACCCATCCTCATGCTGAGCATACCTTATTCAACAATTAGTTCCAGTGACTGCAACTCAACATGAATAAGAGCAATGGAATCCTTCCCCCTCAGTATTAAAATAAAGCCCACTAAGTGTGACCAGAGCAAAGCTACTAACTGAATTCTAAACTAGTGCTGTATAAAACTACTCCATGTACTACTAGTAATGTTTGACCTACTTGTACAACAACCTTCACCTTTTAAAAGGTGATGATCTGAAACATAGTTACAGCTTCCTCCATGGTTTAGAGCATTTAACAGAGTCCAACATTACAAAGAACCTGACTTTTACATTTTTCAGAGCCAGACTTACTTGCCTCTAATTTTTCCATGAAGTAGTGCCATGTCTGTTTCTCAGACTTCTCATGTTCATCTTCTAACCAAATGTATCCACACACTCTAAGAATTTAAGTCTTTTTCTCTCCCTTTTCCTTTGCCAGAACATGTTCTGAGCCCTCTTCCTCTAAAGACAGTTCTGTTAATTCCAGATAAACTCACAATCAGCTGTTTCCCCAGCCTCTATCCTCTGAAAAAGAAAAGAGAAATCAATCAGTTACTGTAGATAATAAGCTCTTCTTGTCCCCATGCTGCTTCTGCTGAGAGGGCACACACGCTCGTGAGTATGGTCTCAGATTTAACAATACCTGTCAGGTGTGCATAGGATGAGTCTATCCATGTTTCTCAACGTAGGAAGTACAATCTGCTTCTGCCTTCCCAGCTTACTTTCCAATCACATCCTGAAAAGCAATATATCAAAGATGAATGTAGAATAAATTAAGGGCAACAGCTGTTATAGAAACTTTGCAAATTATCTTTTTCTGCTGAGTGCTTGTTGAGCCACACTCCCTGCATCTGTACTTCCAAAGCAATGCCCAAACAATCCAATCACACAACCTGGGACAGCTCTGAATAGCCAGTGTAGCACCAGTACCCTAAATATAGCATCCAAACTGGAAGCTCAGGAGAGACCTATCTTAACTGAAATTATGAGTTACAGCCCCAGAGGCTTTCAAAGAGGTTTAACAACAGAATCCTTGTAAAAGCTTGCCATAATCACCACCTATGGTTGCCTGCTCTCAATGTCCTTAAAACTTTCCAAGTGGAGATTATTCTATCCCTCATCCTCTCCACTATGGCCACACAAAACCCAGAAGAGCATTCTCGGGGTTTGTTCTTTGCAAGGACATTTTTTCAGGCCTCATTGTAGATGGCAACATCTTTCTGGACAAATCTGTCTTTGGGAATGAGACTGGAAAGTGTATGTTAGTGGTGGCAGCAAGGAATCACAGAATCAGAATTGTTAGGATTGGATGGGACATCTGGAGATCAGCATGTCCAAACCCAAAGAAGTGTCCTCAAGGGCACCTTCACTGGAAGACTGCTGTGTGGAATTTACTCTGTGGTCATAGCCTTCTCCTGACCTTTTCACTTGGAGGAATTAATGCACTTGAGCCCACATTCATGGGCAATTATCGGCAAAATCCCTGTGGTGCTTGTCCAAGCCCCACTGTTTGTTACTACTTTGCCCAAGCTAACCCCTACTCACTCATGTCCACGAGTGTCTTTTCCTGGGATCACATATAAGCTACAAACACACAGAGGCAGAAAAGGCTACAATATCGACTAAATATTAGGTAAAATTACCTTTTTCCAAAAATTAAGCCAATGGTCTGAAGATAGTTTAAGTGTCTTGAATGGGTTACACTGCCAGCACAAAGCCTTGATATCCCATTTTACATGTTCAGTTGTTACAGCACAAAACTCTTTCTCATTTAAATTTATTTTACGTTATTGTGTACCTTGCACTATTTTGAATACAAATTATTTTACTTTGTTAGCTGTTCAATAAAGATTTAAAATCAACTATCTTTATTCCTTCTGGATCAAAGAACATCTGTAATAACATTGAAGTGTCTCCACAAATTTGCCAGACACAGCTGGAAGATACATTTCTAAATGTGTAGGGGTGGTCAGTAGCTGATCTCCCTCCTTGGGACATATTGCTTTTCAGCATTGGGTACACTGAAAGAATTAATTTCTACATATAGTTTTATCTTTAAATAAAACTTATCTTTTAGAGATACTGACAGAATGCAACTCACAGTTCTCATCTTGGTCTGTACTCAAAGATATTTAGGTAAGTAGAAAATGGGGAGTGCAGATTCGGAATTTTTTGCCAAAAAATTTTACCAAAAAACAAATCGTGTAACAACAAAAGAAGCCATCATCATGGCAGCCCATCTGAGAAGTCACAGGGACTGGGAATTGATCATTGATGGATGTTTTTACCTTTTGCGATTCTGTCAGTCAGCCCCTTGTCCCACTGGAGACAGAGCTTTGCTGCTCATTTTGAACAAGCTGAAATTTCGCCAACATTTATAACTGCAGAACAGAAATTATTTTTAGCTTGTGGGACATTAAATATATGCACTACTCTTTTAATCATAAAGTCAGTGAAATCACACAGCTGAATTGCTGAATTCCACTGAGAAAAACCTAATTTCCCATCTCAAATGATACTCAAAAAAGCCAGAGTAAAAACTCTGGCACCCTTGACAGGCGTTACCAAAACTCGTCCCATTTCCCCAAGCTCCAAACTCTGCCACTGCTAGAAATAAATCCTTATCGGACGAGCCGTCCAACTGCAGCGCAACCACAGCAAAACGCCGCGGCACGGAGTGCGATCCATCTCTCCCAATGTTTCCGAGTGAAGGTGAACAGAGCTGGAGGAGGAACCCGGAATGGCAGAGTTCGCAGGGATGGATTCCAGAGGGAGGAAGGCTGGCTCACCGCGGGCACGCGGCTGGCTTCCCGCTGGGACAGGCCCGCAGCGCCACCGGGTGGCCGCCACCTGCCCGTCCCGCGCTCCGCGGCGTCCCCGCTTCTCCCTGCCCCGCACCTCCCGGCTCTTCGCGGTGTCCCCGCTTCCCTCTGCCCCGCACCTCCCGGCTCTCCGCTTCCCCTCTGCCCCGCACCTCCTGGCTCTCCCTGGTGTCTCCGCTTCTCCGCCGTGCCGCACGGTCCCGGCTGCCCGCGGTGTCCCCGGGAGCCCCCGCAGTAATTACCCTTGTGGCCGCGGAGCCGCGGACAGATCTGTCCAGGGGCTGGGAGCTGTTTCCCTGTGAGGAAGAAGCTCACATCAGTGTGTGCGGGGACAGCGGGGCGCGCCGCTTTCCCCCCGGACGAGCGGCCAGCGGCACCCGGCACCTTCGGGCATCGGGGCGGCCGCTCTCCCTGGCGCGGCGGCAGGGCGGGCTGCTGAGAAAGGAAAAAAACAAGCGGGGGAAATGTAGCCCTGCGCGCATCCGAGCGCCCGGGCTGCCGCTGCCCCAGCGGGACACCGCGCCCCCCCCGCTGCCCCGGCCCCCGACCCGCCCGGCCGCGCCCCCCGACCCGCCCCGTCCCGACCCGCCGCGCCGGGGGGCTCGGCCATAAATACGGCCCCGAGTGGCGCTCCCGGACCGGCGCGGCTGCGGAGGGGGTCGGGGCAGCAGCCAGCGCTGGTGGCCTCGCCTGGGACAGGCTGCGAGAGTCTCGGCTCTGCGCACCCGCCCGGCCGCAGAGCAGCCCGGTCGAAGGCCCCTCCGTTCCGAGCCCCTCGCCGTCCCCTCTGGTCTAGTCGCTGTCCCCTCTGCCGCCCCCATGGACTTACTTGGCCCCATGGAGATGACGGAGGGCTCCCTCTGCTCCTTCACAGCCGCCGATGACTTCTACGATGACCCGTGCTTCAACACGTCGGACATGCACTTCTTCGAGGATCTGGACCCGCGGCTGGTGCACGTCGGGGGTCTGCTGAAGCCCGAGGAGCACCCGCACCACCACGGGCACCACCACGGGCACGAGGAGGAACACGTCCGGGCGCCCAGCGGGCACCACCAGGCCGGCCGCTGCCTGCTGTGGGCCTGCAAGGCGTGCAAGAGGAAGACCACCAACGCCGACCGCCGTAAGGCCGCCACCATGAGGGAGCGCCGGCGGCTCAGCAAGGTCAACGAGGCCTTCGAGACCCTCAAGCGCTGCACCTCCACCAACCCCAACCAGCGCCTGCCCAAGGTGGAAATCCTGCGCAACGCCATCCGCTACATTGAGAGCCTGCAGGCCCTGCTGCGCGAACAGGAGGACGCTTATTACCCGGTGCTGGAGCACTACAGCGGGGAATCGGACGCCTCCAGCCCACGCTCCAACTGCTCCGATGGCATGGTGAGTGCCCCAGGGAGGACTCCCTGCCACCAAGGTGCCCTGGACACTGCTGGTCCAAACCTGAGCGGGGCGAGTCACATCTTCCTGTCCTTCCTATAGCAGCTGCCTTCTGTACCTCCCCAGGCAGAAGACAAAGTCCTTTGTCGTGCCTTGAGCACCCGCAGCAAAGGGAGGTGGGGTCCCCACATGGCAGGATCTTTGGGAAAGAAGAAGAATCTCTTACAAGCTTTGTTCCCTGGAATAGGAAGTTAGGCAGGTTCCCCATGTGCTGGAGGAGCCAGGGCAAAGTTGCTGGGGGAGAACTTTGGGAAGCTGCCTGGAATGGGGGCATTGCCTGTGATCCCATAGCTTCTGAGGCATCTCTGTTTCCATCTTCTGCTGTATCATTACCTTTGAATCCTCTAAGGACAGCAGAGAGCAAGGGCCCCCTAGGACATGGTAGTTACGCGGGAATTGGTAAGAGTCTGGGTTTTGTTTTCTGCCATTCATCATGACAACAGGAGGAGCGTTTAAGCAACAAGAACTGGTTTTTTTGACCCTTAAGAAAAAGATTATCCATTTCTCTTCTCACTCACGCCATCCCCTCCATAGAAAATTACAAGCAATAAGAAGGAGAATCCAGGCTTTCAGTCCAGTTTGTACATTAGGGGCATGGGAGAAGAAGGGTGGGTGCCAGAGAGGGTGTCTCATCCCCATGTCTTTTGGCTGGGGCTGTAGGTTCAGCCTCTGGTCTGGCTCTGGGCTGGTGGGATGTGGTGACCAGAGTGTAGAGCAGCGCTCTGGATAGGCCATTAACTGCCCTTTCAGACCAGAGACTGCTTGTTGTGCTCTGGAGGGATAGTCGTTACTGAGTTCAGTATCTGTGATTGAGATACTTAACAGATTGGAGAGATTTACACAAATGATTCCTCTTCAAGATACAGCCTCTTCTAATACAGGAATTTGATTGTGGGTTAAACTATTGTAAACAAATATATTAGTCAATGTTCTAGAGCATTTTCTATACAAAATGGAAATGGGAAGAGAAACAGAAGGAAATACAAAGCGACAAGGTAGACAGAGGCTTTTAAAGAGGAATTAATGTTTAGAAAAATGTTCAAAAACTAAATTAAAAAGACATAATTCCCCTTTCACACAGGTCTCAGGACACTCAGGTCTCCCTGTTGTAAACTAAAGATACATAAAGGGCTGGTCAGAATGCTGGAAAGCCTCATCTCATCTGTAAAGTTGCAGCATTCTATGCAAGAGTGGTAACTTTCCTGTGGAACAGCTGTGCCACATAAACTATTCTGGGGTGGACCTCCTTCTAGCCATGTTTTTCCTTACTCAAAGAATCTACTACTTGATGGCATTTCAGACAGGACTGGAATGATGGCAACAGATCAGAGCCTGAAATATGAAATTAGATGGTTCCTGGGATTTGGGTAAGAGTCTGACCTCACTTGGATTTCTCTCCTTCCCAGATGGAGTACAGCGGGCCTCCCTGCAGCTCTCGCAGAAGGAACAGCTATGACAGCAGCTACTACACAGAGTCCCCAAATGGTGAGTACATGCCCTAACAGCAGTGTGAAACACTGAGACAGAGGCAGGCAGTGCAGCAGCTTCCCTGTGCCTGCTCTGTGTCCAGCTGGGCTGAGAGAGGAACCTGCCTTTCCAGCCAGCAAGCCACTGCTGCTGGTAGGGGCCCTGGATTTCCTCTAGGTGTATTTGCAAAGATGGGGATGTGTTATAGCTGTACTTCCCATTTTGCAAATCTAACAGTTGGACAGAAGCATGTTATTGTCTACAACTAATTTCAGCATTTGACCATATTCTACATGAAGATTTCTTATTCTATCATTGATCCAAAATGGAGTAATTTATGACTGATTTCAAATCTGCTCTTCCCTTTTTATGGACTCAGTGAAGCCTTAGAGCCTCCCTGTCCCCAGAGCAGCAGACTGTGGTTGCACATCTCTTCCATTGTGAAATGACAATCTGTTTTCTGGTTATTGGTGTCCTTCACCAATATTAATTTCCTCTGAGTCTTCACATGCCCACAAATGTGCAGTGCCCACTGGTGGTAATTACCCACTGGATAATCTGAGCACCTTTTTGTCTGTTTTTTAGATCCAAAGCATGGGAAGAGCTCTGTTGTTTCCAGTCTCGATTGCCTCTCAAGCATTGTAGAGAGGATTTCCACAGATAATTCCACATGCCCTATACTGCCTCCAGTGGAAACTGTTGCTGAAGGGAGTCCCTGTTCCCCTCCAGAAGGAGTGAATCTGAATGATGGTGGAGCCCAAATTCCTTCCCCCACCAACTGCACCCCACTCCCCCAGGATAGCAGCAGCAGCAACCCCATCTACCAAGTGCTATAAGGACCCCTCCAGCTGGACTGCATCAAAACCAATTTGCTCCGTTTGGCCTCGCTCAAGACCTGCCTTCTAAGGTTGAAAAGACTTCTTAAGACTTGTTCCAATTTTAAAATATCACTGAAAATTCCTTCAACTATCTAACTTTGCAAACCTGTATCACTTCAAAGTACACATAGTTATTTATTGGTTGTTAAACTAAAGTTATTTAATACGTCTAGAGATAAAGTTGTGTACCATGAAATGGCCAATGTTTAATCTGGGCTGTGGGGAATAGGAAGCTGGCTCTTGAATGTGGAGGAAAATAGAAATCTACAGCAGTATTGACATGATAGATCCTTCCTATTACTCCTGTTCTGGCCAAAATAAGGTTGTGGACCATTTTTTATAAAACTTTTGTATAATTGTAAATAAGAGTTGCTTTCCAAAAAAAAAAAAAAAAAGAAGAAAAAAAAAAGAAAAAAAGAGCAAAATAAATAAATTTTAAAAAATAAAACACCAAAAACTTAAAAAGGGGAAAATTTTAAAAATATTTAATATTGCTTGGTTTGTTGTGTCAAACTTTAACTTTATATATTTATACGATGTGGTTGCCAAGAATGTTTTCACCAGTATTCTAAATAAAGACCCTTATTTATAAAATCTGTGGTGTTATCTTGACTTTCGTTAGGGCTTCTAGAATTACTAGGGCATTCAGGAGTGGTATTAGATCTCTGCCTTGGCAGGAAGAAGATACAGGCTCTGATTCAGCAAAGAAATCAAGAACATGCTTCAGTTGCACCACTTTGCATAAATATGCTGCTGTCAAAGGGTCTCCTTTCTTCATATTCTGTTGTGGTCACTGCTAAACCTAGACCTGAGCATCACAGGTCATTATTAGAGGGATCAATAAATAAGCATGTTTCTCCTCCTGCCCCCAAAATCTACAATTACATTGGAGCACTTGATCTTACAAAGATGTGTTGAAACGAAGAATCCCAAAAAATGAGACTCTCCAAATCCCAGTGTAGCTACTGAAACGCCACACAAAACTCACAAGAACAGGTACTACATTTTGGGACAAGTGTTTACATTTTTCATTCAAGTTCTATTTTTCAAGTGTTTGTACCAATTTCATGTATTCTCAGGTATTAAAAACTAATTGCAAATGAGTTTTGGCCATAAAGTTCAAGTCACATATCACAGTTTTCCTCAAGTTCAAGTTGGAATGTAGGCCAAAGATAGGCAGTTTTAATTTGGATTTGAACTTTATGCATCTCTGGCAGCACTGCTCCAGGGATTTGCTTCTTGTTTAGAGCCTCTCTAAAAATAACCAGTGGGCTCTGTTTCATTCAGTATCTATGTGTAACCTTGAAAGCTGGCTGTGCAACTGAAAAATGTTTTGCCCTGAGCTGGTTGTCATTGGAAAGTAACAATCAGGGTGTTTCTGTGCATCTGGACAAGAATAACCAGCAACTACAACCTGTTTCTTATCACATCCCTATGATTTATGGATTTTGTAGAAACATCACAGTGAAATAAAAACAAAAAGCACACTGAAAACCAATCTAGGTATCGTCATCGTCCCTAAATACTTTGATGACAGACTAGTCATTGTGTTCTCTGTTAGGTGACTATTATAGAGGGAGTTTGTGCAGCTCTTACCTTAAGCAGGAAAAAGAAAGAGGGAACAGCTAATTCCAGGGAATGTCTCCCACTCCTTTAATCATGTATGGCCTTGAAGGTCAGTGTTCTCTGGAGAGGAGAGGAGCAAGCTGCCATGTATTGAGCAGAGCAATGTAGTTGCTTCTCCTTCTTCCTGGGGCAGTCATGCTCCAAGCTTGGTGATTTTTCTGAAGCCAGAGGGGCAGGGATGGTAGCAGCCATGGGTATTCCTTCCTCATCCATGAGCTTGGGGTCATGGTGGATGATAAATCAGTGTCGAGGCATGGGACCATTCTGTGGAGCAGCCCAGGCTCCCAGAGATCAGAAGAGACTCTGAGGCAGGACTGCCCACTCATCATCTTCATCAAAGTCCAACTTTGACTCCCTGTGGGCAGAAAACACTCCAGCCCATAAAGATTGAGCTTACCCCTTTCATTTTTCCATTAAAGATAAAAATCAAACTAACTTGAGAATGTGCTAATTCATACTATCATTAGTCAGGAGGGTCTCTACTAAGGCTGGAAAAATAGCTCAGGTTAGTTGGAAGCCTGTATCCCTTACAAAAGCTAAGGAGAGACAGTTGCCTCACAAATCAGGACCTCACACATCATCAATATAATTTTCATTGCCTTCAGCAAACTATCAGGCCCACAGTGCAAAAGTTTCAAATAAATGCTCTTGTGAAATACTAAAGATCTTTTAACCCTCATAATTTGAGGCCAGTAAAAGCATCCATTTTACTGCCAATAAATGGCAACCAAAGGTATTTTGGCAGCTCAGGAATGACAGAGGCTCTGGACATGCTGGCAGCACAGAGTTCATGCCTGCACTGCTTGCACCCCACTTCTGAGGGACAGGATGGGGGGTACCTGGCTGAAGGGTTGGCATGGCAGAATGGGCACAGGGCACTTGTGTTCAACAATGTACATGCAGTTCCATGTGAAGTCATGTATATTGCATTTCACTGATTTATTTTAGCCACCCGAGTTTCCACATACTGATGTTAATGTTACAACAGAGAACAGGCATTTAGCACATCCCAAAATAGATGGATGGATGATGAGGAAAAAATATTCATAGGTTTCCTATGCAGAGCCCATCTTTCTTCCATTGATGTCAGTGAGAAAAGTTCACTGGAGTAAGGCCAAAGGGCATCAGCACTGATAAATACATGTTTAGGTTACAAATGTATTTATTTCTTACTTAGATAAGGAAAATTGTTCTCTTGTGCCATCTCTTCCTGTTTATTTCTAAGGTAATAAATATATTTAAAACAAAGCCTTGTGCATGAAGAGGACAGCATGTAACTGATAGAAATATATCCCAGTCTATGAGCAAATATTTTGAGGCTAGTAATATTTGGATTCAGAGTTTTAGTTTAGCTCTGACACAGCCAAGGAGCATAGGCAAGGCCGATCCAACGTATACAAACTTTGGGTCTTAAATTGGACTCCTGAAGATGAATTTAGGCATTTAGGGTTGGTCCTACAAGACAAAGTGCAGCCTACCTTGGTCTACAGAAACACTCCAGCATGGGCTCCAAACACACACTGATAGTCTGAAAGTTTTTGCCACATAAACTTTCCAGGTCAATATGATGTTTCCTAAGGAACAGTGCCTCCACAAGGAAAGCCATATAGATACAGACAAATAAAGGAAAGTAGCTGTCTTCAAATATAATGATAAGTGCACATTTTAGGAATGTTTGATTTGATTTGGTAGCTTAAGAAAGTACTGCATGACAAACCCAGCACTACTGGTTTATCTTACTCAAACCACTGCTACGGAAAAAGTGAAGAGGAGTAAATTTATATCTCACTTGCATGTAATAAATGCTTCAATTTTACATTTCATCAGATCATTTGCCAGTATGAGAATGAAGAGGATCTTTTTCCTACTTTCAATATTCCACAACAAACTGCAATAAAATTGCAAATAACAATGTTAAACACCATTTCCTGCATTATCATAGCAATACTGCTACAGAAGTATATCACATACCAAACATTCAATTTTAGGTAAAAGATATATGAACTATTCTTGGTATCTGTTTTCCTTTTAAAAAGATTTTATTATCTGTATCCAAATATATTAAAGAAATATTAAATTGGCAGTTTCTTCACACCAGATACTGCTCTTCTAAAATGACTTGTCACTTTCAACTCAAGATAAAGACCTTAAAAAACCCCTTGAAAGTGGACAGAAAAGCAGCTTTCATTTTACATCTTACATTTTGCAGAGATATTTAAAAGGTTCAAAATGTGCAAAGAGCCAAAACTGCCATCTTCAGAAGAACTACATCCAAAAGAGACAAAGAAACCTTTTTACCTTATACCTCATGAATTGTAATGAATGAATTAATTAATATTTCATTTTTGTTTAAAAATTTCCTTGAAATCAGTAGGAATATTTCCAGCTTCAGTAGGAATATTTTCAGGCTACTGCACATAATACTGTCTGGGATAGTGTTCAGGTAGCAGTGCAAAGCCAGGACAAACTCCCTGCTGTGACCCTTTGCTCGTGCTCTGGTCACTGACCCATTTCTGTCACAACGCTCTCAGATGTGCCGGTTCCCCTGAGCATAAGCCTCTGAACAAGCTGCCAGGCTTTAGTGCTCACCTGATCTTGAAAGTACCATCCAGAAACTGCCCCCATAATAGTGCTGAAAGCCTACAACAGTTCCTAAATGAGTGGCTGACACAGAGCCTGTGATAGCAGGAGATGGTATGAAGGTCATTTCACATAACTTGCATGTGGCAATCTTGGCTTCACAGGCAGGAGGTAAAAAGGCCTGTGTAGAGTCAGAGTGCAAATCTCTGACAGCATGACCTGGAGATCATCTTGGGAGGCACATCCAAGTACCTCATTAAGCACTATTTACTATCAGCTCACCCTCCCTCAGCCTCTCAAATCACTGGTTTTCTAGTAAAACTGTTGAACAGCCATGACCTCCTCTCCTTGATGGATGCAGCATGCTCCCTTCTCAACAGGCTTGCTGTGCAACTGGGAATGTCATTAGAGTGGAGACCTTTCCATCTTGACATTTCAGGGCTAACAAGGGAGGGGATGGTCCCTAGCATAATACAGAAGAGCTGTCAGAGAGGCCTTTCCCTCCCAGGACCCAGCAGCAATTAGGAACACATCTGACAGAGCCACTTGGGTCAGTGTAAGGAATCCAGAAATTTCCCTGTGGACCCAGAAACCTACATTTTGCATACACAGCCACTTGTGAATATAGATTTAACACTGTAAGCTAATGGTGAAAGCTGATCTATCCTGTAACCATGGGGTGATAGAAAACCTCAGGGTTTTCCCAATAATACAGTCAACATGGCACTGAATTCACATTTTCTTACTACAACAGCAATAACTTTTATCATCTACAGGCATCTTAGCAACATCAACAGCTGTGCTATTTATGTAATAATGCATAACCTCACATTTATCAATAGCAAGGCAAATGCTGTAGCTATTTATTAAAAATTTACTAAAAACTCTAACAGACAATAAGCCACTTAATCACATGACTGAGGGAGGTTACAATTTTCATTGGGATTTTGGGAGTCGGATTCACTCAGAAGCCTGTGTCTCAGCACAGTTACCTCCTAGTGCTGCATATCCATTGCAGTAAAAGGGGTCCCCCAATCTCCATAGCTCTCCCTAACCCACCTCAACTGACCTTGAGCCTCTTCTGGTCCAACAGCCACATCTGCTGGGAAAAATATTAATTACATTTCTTCCTGAAATCATTGCTTGGTGAACTCCATGCTCTGTTTTATCCTCTTTCCATCATGTCACGTTTGTTGGTGCAGGAACAGCAAAGATATTCACAGTCTTCAGACAGCATCTAGAGGCACATACATTAGGAGCATCAAGAAAAATATATTGGAAAACCCAATTTCCACCCTACTAAGAACCTTCTACAAAAATAGAGACAAAAAAATGGTAAGATTAGTATGGTTGGTTGCGTTTTGGCTTTTTTATTGCTAGGCAAATTTTGGGGCACCACTCTATTTTTCTTTAGGTGAAAAATAAAGACAAAAGGAGGGAGAAATGGAAGGTCTTTAAATGCGTTGTATGGCCTGTGCTGAGAGCAGTGGTCCTGAGGGAGACAGGCTGCTTGCCAAGAAGGCAGGTGGGGAGATGCAGAGGAACTGCAGATGACAGCAGGATCACAATGACATTCTCTGGTGACAAAGTCCCTCAGTAGGGCACAAATTTTGGCCACCAGACCAAGGGAGGTGATTTCCCCCTCTACTCTGCTCTGGTGAGATCCCACCTGGAGCTGTGCCTCCAGCTCTGGGTCCTCAGCACAGAAGGGATATTGACCTGTTGGGGGGAGTCCAGAGGAGGCCACCAAGATGATCAGAGGGATGGAGCACCTCTCCTATGAGGAAAGGCTGAGAGTTGGGAATAGTTTAGCCTGGAAAAGAGAAGGTTTCAGGGTGGCTTTCCAGTACCTGAAGGGAAAATACAAGAAAGATGAAGAGAGCCTATTCAAAAGACCATGTAGTGACAGGACAAAAGGGAATGGCTTCAAACTGAAAGAGAGTAGATTTATATTAGGTATTAGGAAGAAATTATTTACTGTGAGAGTGGTGAAGCATTGGAACAGGTTGCCCAGAGAAATTGTGGGTGCCCCGTCCCTGGAAGTGCTCAAGGCCAGGTTGGGTGGGGCTCTGAGCAGCCTGGTCTAGTGAGAGGTCTTGTTCCAACCCCCTTTCCATAGCAGAGGGGTTAGAACAAGGTGATCTTTATGGTCCTTTCCAACCCCAACCATTCTATGACTCCTTTTATATTTTGGCCACACAACATTCCTTTCTTTCACATCAATGCTCTACTTCTGAATCCTAAACTAAATGAAGCAATACCTTTTTGTTCTGATTTTTTTAACTTGTTTTTATGGCACCTGCGAGTTTCCTGAGGCAGGAGCCTAGACAATCCACATTTGAGAGCTGCTGCTTGCTGCAGGGTGAAAGTACATTATTGAACCGACAAGCAGTGTGTAAGCTTTTCTCCGGGCCACCGGAGGGCAGCATTTCCATGAAAAACAGGACTTCGGCATCTGTTTTTTTCACTATATACATTACTTTTTCCCCCCGTAAACTCTCACATCTAACTCTTTCTCAGCTCAGGTAGAGAGCATCATTTCACACCGCAACAATTGAAATCAATGAGCTGAATTCCTAGCCAGTGTAAATTCATAAGTCTTGCTGGCAGTTGACACAGTATACTGGGATTATTACAGCAAGTACAAGCTCATGGTTTGAGTTTGGATGCTCAAAGATGCATTTTGATGGAAAAAAACCCTTTTGTTTATACGGCAAGGCATCCCTATGTATGGACTAAAGTTCAGGATGAAGAGCATCACAAAGCAAAGCATTTATACAACAGCTTGTAAAAGGAGACCATTCTCCATCCAGGGCACGTAATGCTCTCATTACAGATCTAATGGCATGAAAATACAAATGGATGCAAGGGGGTTCATGTGTCACACGTGTTCCTTTGTATGGGACAGGTCACACTCACATCGCTTTGTTCCCTTTGGAAAGGAAGCGGGTATGTGCTAGGCACTCGCGCTCTAGGCTCTCAAAGGCTGTCCTCTGCAGAACTACACACTCGAAACAGCTTGCAGTTGAAAGCCAGCTGCACAAAATGTAGTCCCAAACAGGCCTTTCAAAAGCTTCACAAATGCCAATTACATTAAGCGATAAGAAAAAAAGCAACGAAGTAATGTGCCTAATTAACAAAGCTAGAGATGGAGCCAGCCACTTGGTTTGAAGTACTTCCAAGAGAGATGTTAAATGCAATGGTCAGGGCAACTCTGGAAGAAATAAATTAACATGCTGGGTTAATATTTCAAGCTCTGTGGGAGTAAAAACTGTGTGTGGTAAGAGGAAACAAAGGTAAAAATATCACAGGGTGCTATTCTGTTTGTTTGTTTGCCAAGGACACTTTAGCTTTTGCCATTTATTATTCTTCATGATATGCTCGAAATTATGCAAGAAGACATAAAAGTGTCAGCATTGCGTCACTGGCCTTCCTAAATTTATCTTTTACCCACCTGTTAAATCTCAGCTCAAGGTCAAGAGAAAAACTATTTTAAGTGAATGCACTATGAGACAGACACATTCATGAAAAATATCTTAGGAGAATTCTTTATCTTTAGTACTATCTGCAATCACAGTTGAAAAGATGCCCCACACTACAGGACAACAGTGGAGTTTTTCTGGTCCTCATAAATAAGAACTGACTGACAGCTGCCCGGTTCCAAATCTTAGATACCTGTGGTTGGGAAAGCTCAGGCCATCACAAACTCTCAAGTTCCAGCAAGTAGTGTGGCTTGAATCCATTCCAGTACTCATCTGTTGGCAGCTGTTTCCATCTGCTCCTTCTTGAACCCTTGTGCTGACTCCCTAGGGAAGAGCAGGAAGATTGTCACGCAATGAACTCGCTTGTTGTGAGCTGGCTGCTCATGTTTTACCCCAATCTGTCATCTCACCTCATCTGCTCTCTGGCCTTTTTTTGCCATGAGAATTCTGAGTTCTGCTCTGCACCTAATAGGGAAAAGAAACCCCAAACCAATTGTTCCTCAAATTATTCCTTCTTTTAAGTACAGATAATTATTATGAACAAGAGATAGAGAAAAGATTGATCAGATCACTTAATCCTCACAGCTGAATCCCACAGTGATTCCTGCATGTATGTTTTGCAGCTAGAAGTGTCTGACATACCTTCAATTTGTGATGAGAGAAGGCAGATGACCTTCAAGCACTCCATGACCATTACCTGCAGCCTTTTTTTTTTGTTTGGTTCTGTGGTAAAACACAAAATGTAGAAAGAGGAAAAAAAACCCCAAAATAACATTTTCTAGTGTGGACATCAGTGTTTATGTTTTCTGGACTTGCAGCTGAGCTTTAGGAACTTTGGTTGATTGAGCAAATGTCTATGCACATTAAAGCTCCTCTCTTAATTTGTCCCATTACTATTTTATGTACTTGGTAACTTGACATCTACACATTAACATTAATTGGCCAGACTAAGAAAAAGATTGTATTGTTTCTTAACCAAGATAATTAGTTTTATATTTTCATCTTTGAAAGGTTTAATTTATACTTTGATATATTATCTCTAGCCTGATTTCCAATTGGACAAAATTCCCTCAAATCTCTTGGACATTCAAAACTTTCAGGTGTACCTGAAAATGCAAACTTTTGTTCAGAGACATCTTTTTTTTTTTTTTTTCAATCCCAAAGTACCTGAAAGTATATCCCTAAATATAAGCAGCATTCTGCAGATGCTATTCAGCCTAGGGTTCAGAGGGGAGAAATAACCACTAAGAGAAGCAATACAACAGAATATGGAAACAAAGTTGAAAAAGATTCCATTAGTAACACAAATGCAATCATCTGGATTTTGCCCTAGCCAGAATTATACATATTTATGGGTATATTGGTCAAAATACCGCCTAAGAGCTTTACAAGCATAAACTCAGGAAAATAGAGTAATTTCTCTGACTTGCCATGTCACCTTTTCTGTGGAGCCCTGTCCTTTGCAGCATGCATCTGTCTGCTTGGATTATGCAGTGATCAAACTGGGCCACACAAGGACAGCATCACTTCAGCACTTCTGCATGGAGACCTTTCTATATAATGAAGGCTTCTGAAGGGGCTTGGCATGATAAAGCAATTAAGAAACACCTTTGCCCACATCCTGAATTACTACCACACAATCAACCATTTCCTCTACTTTTTAACAGGCAGAATAAGCTGAAGAACAGTTTCAGAAGAAACAGTAGAAACCTTTTGTATTTTTTATTACAGTTGGAAAATTTTCAAAGAAAAAAAGGGCTTTATTATAGATTTGAGAACTGGACCCTCCTTTTTTCTCACTGCTCCATAGGAAAGCAAATAAATATGCTATTGTAGGCCATCTTAGGATGAGAATCCATCCTAAAAGAACAGAGAGGTCCAAGTTTGCATGAGAATGGAGTATTTCTTAAGGAAGACCCAACTCTGATTTCCTGCAGGCCAACTCTGAATATCTTGTGCCACTGTGATCCTTCTCTGCTTCCTCATTATTTCCCAATTCCTTCTACTGCTGGGCTACCTAGAGGCAAAGACTACAACTGCAAAACCTGGCAGAACCCACAGATGAATCAGACTGAATCAGTAAACAATGACTAAAAGTGCAGCGTCACAGGAACAAGCATATCACTGTGCCTCAAGTTAGATCATTTAAATACAAACCTGCTGCAAATCTTAACAGGAATTTCAGCCACAGTCTGGAGGGCTGGTGTAATCCTATTGCACTGGGATTCCTACAGAAGTCTTCCCCAGGTCCTGGAAACCTGGTAGAGCATATTCCTGCTTCCTGGAGTGCAGACACCATTCATTACAGTGTGTCCCAGAAGGGAAAGGCAGAGGACAAGCTAATAGAGGTGCCATCCCTTCACTATTGCCTTTCTTCTAGCTCTCAACACTTCATTTAACTGGAACAAAAAGCTGTCAATGCTAAGGCATAGACCCAGGTATGAGACAGGATAAAGAAACCTTCATTTCCAGCAGCTGGTCCAAGATTTGGGACAGAAAGTAGATTTTGCTTTCCATTTACTCACATTTATATTGTATAAATCCTGGCTTTTGACAAAAGAAATGCAGCAGATTTCATCCTTAGTGCCAATTATTTAACTAGCATCACTGGAACTATTATACTTTATATCTCTTCATATGCAGCATTCAAATAATTACTTCAATAGGATTAAATGTCATATTTCATGGGACTGGCTGTGTAAATATTTACCAAGCTAGAGAACAGAAAAGACATCTCAGAGTTATTGATTCATGTCAAATATTGAGAAGCTGGGTTAATCAAGGGATTTAAGCAATGCTTTAAACCTTTGAGTCAGCATTGTTGAGATTTATTTAAACTACTCTTACCTTTCAACATCTAAAGTTTTACAAATCGTTTATAACAATAAAGACTAACAGGCCATTTTCTCATCTGTTTGTCTGATGACATTTCAGTTACTATTGTAAACTCAGTAGGCTGAAGAAGTAATAACAGCTGTGAAAAGTGAAACATTCAACAAAAATAAAGTTCTCATTTCACTAAAAAAAAAAAGGTAAGAAATTTTCTAATTATTTTGTGGTATTAGCCAGCTGATGGGCAAGCACATACATTTTATAAAATGGAGCATATTCCATAGTCCTCTGTCAGTACCAGACCCTAATTCTTTCTAGTTTTTTGGTGGTTAAATGAAAAATATACACTTGCAGTGCTGAGAGCTGCATGCCTTTTTCAAGAAAAGACTAGCACCTCCTGTTCTGTATTCTGTATATAGTAGTTGTGAAATACATATGTCTGTATCTATATGTTTGTGTCTGTTGCTATGTTCATGCACCTGCAATTTGGCTGAGATCTTAAAAACATAATGACAGCATTAGTAGAGTTTTGTTTTCAGAAAAGGCTGACTAGGCCAGTCTGAGAAAGTCAAGGACCTTCTAGGACCCCCAAAACAAATCAGCTGATAAAATAAAGCCAAGTCCCTGGCTTTTTCTGAAACTCTAGCTGTAGTACATGGTAGGAATTAAACAGCTCCAACCTATGTGCCCTCTTTTGGCAATGCAGATTCAGAGCCCTCAGGATGACTGAGCTCAGCTCATAGTAATGAATTTAGATAAGGGGTTTTTTGTTATGTGCTGACAGGAAACTTCCAATTGTAAGCTCAATTTTCCTCATCACCAGCTGGATTTTTGCTGGATCACACCTAGATCAGCATGAAGGAGAGGGACAAATCCATATCCTTCCATAACACAGCATTGTGACAAAGTAGCACATTAGCTGTATGCCTAATTTTGGATGCTTAAAGTAGATTTTGATGTAATTTAGCTCCATGATTTCTTGAGGAACACTTATTTCTGTTTTGGGGAAGATTTCATCAAAGAAAAATTCTGACACTTTTACTACAGCCTTGACTTGAGGACATGCTCCAAAAGAAGCACAGTGCTGCACCCAGGCCAGATTTAAGGAGCTGGGGGTGAGACAGACAACTCAGCAATTTTTTGCAGTGCTTATTACCCTTTTTGCAAGGAAGGTGCAATCTTCTCTTTCCCTACAGGTAAAACAGTTTGGAAATCTCCCTAGTCTTTCAGCAAGCAGCAGAACACCACTTCCACCACCTTGCCTTACTTGTGGGCACCATCTCCATAATTGCATCTGCTCAGTTCCATCTCCCATCAATTTTCAGCAAGACCAAATGGATTCCAGGTGGGAGTTTCTCTTAGCTAACAGAGTGGGTAAAGACCAAAGATGATCTCTAATATGTCACAATATTACTTCCATTTTTTTCCAGAGTAGCTTCCATTTATCTCACAGTTTGAGGCATACTGTCTGAAGGGTCCCAAAGGAATTTGCAAATCACAAAGAACCTTCACTCAGAAATGTCAGCCCAGTAGAAATGGGTGAACAAGTCCAACTCATCAGGCAGAGCACAGCAAATGCTTCTCAGTTCAAAGCAAAGCCATGCAACACTTGGAAAACATGGATGGGAATGAAGTACATATTCAAGCAAAACTGAAGTAATTAAGAGAAAAAAAATTCCAGCTATGGAAGTGCAGGAACAAGCATTTAGCTATAATTTTGGCTGCTCTGGTTACTCTCATTAAAAGCATCATGACCTTGTATCAGGCTTTGGGCTACACATCTCTTCAGACATGCAGCCACTCCATGACTCCCTCAGTCAACACCAAGCACGAACCCACAATTTTTTTCTCCATTCTCATTCTTTCTATGAAAGGCTTTCATCCAATTAATGACAATTCAGAGGAGTAAATCTAGCCTTTCAGAAAAGTAATACCATCTATGCAATTGCAGCTGCTTTATTTTTAAATTATTTTCAAGGACAAAATGAGTACATTGCATGCTGAAGTCCGTCACAGCTTTCCATTCGAAGACCTCAAACCAAATGATTTACAAGGGTCAGTGCTAACAGATAGAGCAGTTCACAGCATGATGTAATCTAAAACTGATAAAAAACTGTACTGAAATATTGTTGAGTTGTCATGAATTTAATACAAGAGAGCACAGGCTGAATTATAGCATTCAAGCATTGCAAAACTGGTCTTCCAACCCCGGCTGCCTTTTCTTTTGTGGTTATAACTCTTGCAAATAATTCTCTCAGCCTCCTCCAGCTTTAAAACATTTTGAAAGTACTCTCCAGTTATATTCATAGTTGTGCACAAAGTCACAGGTTCTCTCAACATCTCCTTTTCCTTTTCATATTGTAACAATGGATCATTCTTTTTCTTTGAAAAGAAACTGAGTGATGAAGTCAGAGCTAGGCTTACATTTCAGGAGTGGGAGCTTCTTCAGCAGTCACCATTGTTTGTGTCCTCCCTAGAAACCCCAGTG